TGTGCTGTGTCGTGCTAGGCACCACCCTGTATAAGGCTGTATAAGGATTCACTATAGCATAAAATACCCCCAGCCAACAATTCCATACATTAACAGTGATTGTATTAACGAGAAATACAAAACACACATCTGTTGAGTGAGCATACGATATGTCGTAAGTGTTTAATTTTAGATAAAAGAAAACTGCCCTAAAATGTCAACTAGATCAATTTTTTAAACATATTCATGTTTAAAAAAATGTCAACTAGATCAATTTTTTAAACATATTCATGTTTAAAGCACGCGAGCGCTGAAAGTAATGCAACTACATCTGAAAAAAGATTATGCTCTATATTCAATGTGGAATATCGACGTAAATAACGATAATACAAAAAAGGGCATACCATCTTTTTTATACAAAATTTTATTATCTTTCTTTTTTATATGAAACTTTACTTGCTAGAATGCGCTATTACCGAGATATCAGCGAAAAAGTGATTTGGAGTACCTTTTTTTCCAAGATGGCGGCTCGAGCCCTAGGAGTTTCGGCCCCGACTTTTAGTATGTTCGAATACAAGCCCTAATGTACCTCTATACCAATTTTCAGCTTTCTTTCAATTACTTCCGCTATTCGTGGAAATTTGATCTAATTTGACTGTACTAAAACTGTGCTATTAGTTACCATTCAACCTGTTTACTTCCCCTCAAATTTAAAATGAGTTGAATAGCTTACGATCCATGGTCACAATTGTTGCAACAACTGGTGCTATGGACTTTAAGTGTTAAACTGTTAACGTTAAAATTATTGTAAATTTGATGGTGCAAAAAAATGAACAAAAGCACCACAAGTTCACAACACACACATTGAGACTACTATACATACCTAGAGGGAAATGGCCGATGTTTTTATACCCTTGAATTAATAATAATTGCATATTAATAACAATAACAATTAATGTGCGCTACGTTTGCGATATTCGCCCTCCTTGTTTCAATGTTAAAGGATAAAGAGTGGCAATCGATGGATTCGAGGGTGCATCTCTTTTGATTGTTATAGCAAATCTGTCATTATCAGCGAACTTAGTAATTTGCTGATGATAGCTTTGCTGTTGAAAGACGTACCTATCTACTTTGTGTACTAGTTTTATTGTCTTTTCTTGCAGTTTTTGTTTCCGCTACCTTTCACAGTTTCGTGCCGTATCAAAAATCTGTTTTAGATACCATTTCTAGTATCATAAATTTTGAAAGACCTTTTGTGACTTGCTTCGAATAAAATACACCTACATAATTGCAAGACAAAAGCTATATCTTTGTTTCGAGCTTTCTTTTATCGCTGGCGAAGTAACGAAGCGTGTAGGCAGATCTCGAAATCTCTAAATAGGTACATATAGCGATTTATTTAGATTAGTCAGTCATTACCGCAAATTATAATTTAGGTACTGTACTTAAATGTCTTAAATGTGCATAACGTGTGTTGTGGATTGGTATTATTAACTTATAATTTTGTGTTGGTGTCTGTCTATTCGTCTGTCTGTCCGCCCGCCTGTCCGTCTGTCTGCCCGTTCGTCTGTCTGTCCGTCTGTCCGTCCGTCTGTCTGTTCGTGTGCACGATAACTTTTTGTAGAAACGTCTGATCGCTTTGAAAATTGGTAGGTACACATGTTCTTAAAGTTATAAGAAGGTCACTATTGTTTTTCAGTTACGTAGGCTAACGGGTCAAAAAGTTTCAGCCCAAAAACCGCCCGAACCTCCTAAATCTTTTATATATATCTTTTATAATTCTTGTTACAAAGAACTGTCAGTGTCAGTAAATATTCCTAAACCTCAAGTAACTATATGCAGATGCAAAAAAATATTGCGCATGGGCATTCCAACTTTTGTATTTGCTCAATCCAATTTGTTTATTTGTTAAGATATTTAAGTGAAATGTACATAGGCACCTCGAGTAAAAGTAAAACCTATGATCTTGGTAAAACTAACGCTAATCAAAAAAATTTGTTTCGCGAAGGCGCAAACCGATTTCTTTTATTTGTTAAGATATTTAAATGAAATTATGTATGCAGGCACCTCCAGTAAAAGGAAAGCTAATACCGGATCAAAAAATTTGTTTTGCGCATGCGCCTTCCAATTTTTTTTATTTGTTAGGTTATTTAAATGAAATGTGTTAAAAGCTATGCTGATCTGGTGGGACAGAATCAACCATTTAAGATACCTATGTTGTAAAAATGATGGATGCGTGAAGCTCTCGAGGATCGTTCGGTATTCAGTTGTATCGGATTTTTGAAATTTATAATTTTGAATTGCCGTCTGTCTGTCCGTCCGTCTGTCTGGCCGTGTGCACGATAACTTTGTGTAGAAACGTCCGATCGCTTTGAACATTGATACACATGTTCTTAAGAAAGGTCGCTATTGTTTTTTGGATACGTAGACTAACGGGCCAAAAAGTTACAGCCCAAAAACTGTCCAAACCTCCAAAAAAGGTTTTTTTTATAATTCTTGTTACAAAGAACATATGACTGTCCGGTTTTCTGTGTTAGTAAATGTTCCTTAAAGCCCAGGTAACTATGCAGATTAATAGTATTTTACATTATTAGCCAGGTAAGTGAGTTTTTACTGGCGATAGGAGAAGTTGACTGGCGAGCCGTCAGGCGAGCCTGTCATCTCCTAGAGCCAGTAAAAACTATTACCTGGCGTATAATGTACAATATTTTATTTGTTACTCATTTGTAAACAATAGTAAACGTAAATAATTAGTTCTTAAATTGATCTCGAAGAAATGTTCTAAAATATCATGTTATCCATGTAACAGAGACTTCGCATTAATTCTGGCCAATGAAATTACTAGATTACTAACTTGTAAAACGTTTACAGGTCAGCTGTCAGTTTTACAAGTCAGTAGCGTTTAAATATGACGTTTACCCGTTTGCGTTTTGTCTTGTTAATCAACGTTTACAACTGAGTAACAAATAAAAATAAATACGCAAATCACCTTTTATATTTGCTCAATCCCAATTTTTTTATCTGTCAAGATATTCAAATGGAATTTTGTACGTAGGCCCCACAAATAAAAGTAAAACTGATACCGATCCAAAATTGGTTTTGCCTATGCGCAATCCTATTTTTGGTATCTTGGTTAGTTATGAACCGACTTGCATGAACTTTTGTACGTAGGCACCTCGAATAAAAGTAAAACTAATGCCGATTCAAATATTTGTTTTACAAGCTATACTGATCTGGTGGGACAGAATCAATCCCTTAAGGTGTGTTGTAAAAATGATGTATGCGCGAAGATCTCGAGGATCGTTCGGTATTCAGTTGTATCGGATTTTTATACTTGTAGCGATAATCTGTTATCGGTCATAGCCTTTGCAAATGTCTAAAGGTTGTACATGGGCTTTATATGGTATGTCATAATGAATTTCTAAAAATGGCACAAAATTAGGAGTATAGTTGAGAGGGCACCCGGACAGACACTGAGACAGGACCCGTTCATCGGTTTTAAAGTACATTTAAATCCCTATATGCCACTACGTACAGTATAAGCATATCACACACACACTGCAACTGAAATAGTAATTCTTTTAACAAACTGATCGCGTTTCGCCAGTTTATGATGTTTGCAGAGTATTGAAGTTTTCAACATCGAGCGCTTTTGTTATTATCAATGTACCTAGATACTTATTTATTTAATTGTTTGTTTACTTTATTTTGTGTACTTGTGTAGTAGTATATTCTTTAGTCATTTACCTTTACTTGTTCATATTTTATCTATGTTTAATGTTTTGTCTTTTTTTAACTAAAATTTTAAATTGTTTATAATCCATATTATTCTATTCTAGCTACACGCGGTTTTCCTCGTTTTTTAGTGCACTTTCACTTTCAAAAAATAGAGAGTGCATTTTGCGTAACTTTTGTTTATTTTTGTGTGCCGTACATTGTTATATTCGTAATAAAAAATGCTATTCAATAGATACCGTACTTATGTACTTTCGTTACGGACCATATAAAAAAATAAAGTGATGATGATTTCTCCGAAACCAAACGTTGCATTAAAAATTGAGCTCTACCTAAACCTGTAATATTTGTTATTGCATAGGATGATTGACTTAAAAATAAATTGGTTGTAGAAATCCTATTCAAGTGATATAGAAGTGCATTTTATAATCGTAAATAACGTTTTGCATGGGTTTATTTGATTTAAACAATTATATATGTCAATTTTTCAGTATTCGATAAACCAATACTTCTACTTTTTCTAAAACGATATCATAATCGGTAGGTCTGAATACCAAAAATAAGTAGGCACCTACATTTTCTGGTGGATGAATAGGTTCACTAGCTAACTTCTGAAACAGTTTGTGGTTTATGACTTTCATTTGATAAGTTCTCGGAACAGCAATTTCCTTTAGAATGTCTCATGATACAAATCATGGAATGTCTTAGATATGATACAAAATATTTAAAAAAAGCCGCTCTTCGACGTAATCGTGACAACGCGCAGAGAAAAATCTAGTAATTCAAGAAGTAAGTACCATTGACCTTCTTTTAAACGGAAACGTGGTCAGTTTTCGGCTAGCAAGAGTACAGATAATGAGTAAATGACTGTAACGATATTGTCCACAAACCATATCCTCGCAATATCTTCGTGGAAATCTTTATAATTATTTCTTTTTCGTAATAACAGTGAAGATATTTAGGCAGGATTCTTTGAACTGTCATATACGATTTGATTCACGTAACGGAAAATACGTTTTACTATTCTCAGAAGGCACCATCAGCTTTTACTTATTTCCGATAATTAAGATACATTATGGGAATCTATCGTGACGATTTAGGAAAGGTTGTTTAACCTCGGTCCTACATTCAGCTTTTAATAAACATCAGGAATAATCTATTATACGTTTGGGTTTGTTTATTAATTGACTGTAAGACATCATCTTATCATTGAGTAATTAAATCCTTCACTCAACGATCTTATATAAAAAGAGACTCGATTGTTAATTTTAATTCTTTAATTACAGATATTTATAAATAATGAATGGTACAAGTCAAAATCGGGCAAAACTTTTGAAACTATTAATCCATCTACCGGCGAAGTAATCACCGAAGTCCAATATGCATCAACAGAAGATGTAGATTTAGCAGTAAAAGCGGCAAATGACGCATTTAAACTAGGTTCGCCATGGAGAACAATGGATGCGTCAGAAAGAGGCCGTCTGATATACAAGTTGGCGGATCTCCTAGAAAGGGATGCTGCATATATTTCGGTAAGAGATAGGTATTATCAGAAGATTTAGGGTTTTTAAAAAAAAATGATAATGTAGAGTTTGGAAACTTTGGATAATGGCAAACCATACGCTATAAGCTATGCAGTAGATTTAGGAACTACAGTTAAGGTTTTGCGGTATATGGCCGGTTGGGCAGACAAAAATGCAGGGCAAACTATTCCCACGAATGGCAACATATTTAGTTACACGCGGCATGAACCCGTGGGCGTATGCGGACAAATAATTCCATGGAACTTCCCCATGCTGATGCTTTCGTGGAAAATTGGGCCTGCTCTTGCAATGGGCAATACTGTTGTCTTGAAACCGGCGGAGCAAACTCCTCTTACTGCGCTGTACATTGCACAATTAGCTAAAGAGGCCGGATTTCCACCAGGTGTTTTGAATGTTGTACCTGGATATGGTGATACAGGGGCTGCTATTGTTGAACATCCCAAGGTTAGTGTCAACAGTTAGGCACACAGGAAAAGAAACGAAAAATATTTTGCAGGTGGACAAAATTGCATTTACTGGATCTACAGAGGTAGGTTTGAAAATTCAGCGAGGTTGTGGTTTGAGAAATTTGAAACGAACTACTTTGGAACTTGGCGGTAAAAGTCCCAACATTATCTTGGCAGATTATGACATTGAAAAAGCAGTTCATTTGGCACATGAAGGAGTCTTTTTCAATCAAGGACAAGTGTGCTGTGCTGGAACTAGGGTATTTATTGAGGAGTCAATTTATGATGAATTTGTAGAAAGGTGTGTTTTGAGGTCAAATTTGTTGTGTTCAATAACTAGTGATGACTTGCAGGTCTGTAGAAAAGGCCAAACAACGAATTGTTGGCGATCCATTCGTGAAAACCACCCAACAGGGACCACAAATTGATAAAACACAAATGGAAAAAATTCTTAGTTATGTTGATATTGGAGTAAGAGATGGTGCAAAACTGCTAACTGGTGGTAAGCGAGTCGGCGATAAAGGATATTTTGTGGAACCTACAGTGTTTTCCGATGTGACTGATAATCATAGACTCGCACGCGAAGAGGTAAGTGCAATAAAATATGATTGAAACTGTGGCTGATTTCTTTATAGGTATTTGGACCTGTACAGCAACTGATGAAGTTTAAGCGGCTGGATGACATTATTGAAAGAGCTAATGACACGAATTATGGACTTGCTGCTGCTATTATGTCAAACGATATTGATAAAGTAAATTACCTTATTCAAGGAATACGCGCTGGTACTATTTGGGTCAACTGTTATAATGTATTCTCCCCGCAACAGCCATTTGGTGGATTTAAGGATTCTGGACACGGTAGAGAATTGGGAGAATATGGACTTCAGCAATATACAGAAGTTAAGACCGTAGTGGTGCAAACACCACAAAAGAATTCGTAAGAAGTGATGGAATTATTATGGCTATATGCTTTTTACTACAAATTAAGGATGAAGTACTCTTAATTCTGGTTTCCTAAATGTAAAAAGAATAACTTTTTTTTATTGATACTCATACATTTATATTGTTTTGTATTTTAACTACATAATTTTAAATAAAAAAAAATGCAATTAGTTCATTTGTAATCATTTTTTCAGGTATGTACCAACTTTCGGTCTCTGCTCAGTAGTGCCTTGCATGACGCAGATTTATAAATTATAATATAATGCTCAACTCGTAGTGTACAAATATTTACTTCCCTGATAATTTTCAAGGCAGTGTATTTTTGTAGAAGAAAATAAATCCCTACATTTATGTGTATGTTGCTACATATCCATCATAGCAGTCTTTCTATTTTCATTTGCACAAAAGCATTAAAAATTATATAGGTGCTTCCCACCATCGCCTATTTACACTACTGTCTGTCAAAGTGTGCATCTCACTGGAAAATGGATGCTTGCTCTAATCTCTAGGATATTTTTATTTTATTTTTGAGTGGGCGGGGTTTCAGCCAAGGCTGATATTTATCGTTCATTTGATTGTTGCGTGGACCAATTTAAGTAATTAGTATCTATATAAAGTAGACGTGACGTTTTTTAGGCTACAAAATTTGCCCGCAAGCTAGTTCATATCAAATTAGATATTTTATTACTTGATGATATTGTCGTGTGGAATTACAAATGGGTATTTCCATCAATAATAAAGGATTAATGCTCCTTTTGAGTAGATATGGATTCAAAGAAATCATCTACCTACAAAACGATTTATAGCTATAGCACAGATATACGTCTGTGGCTATAGGATGATCTGTAGCAAGGAATTTTTTGTATAATTTCTGATTTACAGTTTTTTATGCAATTAGGTGAACTCTGTGAACGCGGTTACTAATTGGTAATTAAGAACATTTTTAACTCGTTTAAAAGCTCTAACGCAACTGCATAGACATCTGCATGAAATTACGTTTTTTTTCCAATGCCTCTCTTGTTCCATAATTCCTTAAAGTAGTACAGCATGGCTGAAAAAAAAAACAGTACCATTGAATAAGTAATTTACTTATTTAATGACAGTACTGAACTTGATTGTTGATTTATTTAAAAAGTAAACATTATTAGGACTTGAAAACATGTTCTAAATGTGCGTTGTCTAAGAATGAAGGGCCACTCACACTGACGCGGGAATTCGCCAGCGGTACGAATGCGGGATATATTTGTACAGCGAGATATGCAAGTATGCATAAAGATACGGCGGTTCGCACGCATATACCGCTGTAGAAATATATTTAACATCCGTACCGCTTTCGTGCCCTGTGAAAGAACAGATCAGTAGTGCAAACGCGCTATAGCTAAAGTGAGTATGATGTGTTTATAATTTCCGCTTTATTCGAAGAAACAGAAAAAGGCAGCTTCATTGCGTTGCCGATCGTTGCTAGTGTGCACACTCTCATTTAATCCGCTGTGCTACGCGGCGATCGCTTCGCTCTAGTGAGCGGTACCCTTTAATAAGGGGTCCGTGGGGCGCGCGCATAGAGACGCCGATAACTGATTTCAGTAGTGTTCATTTTGAGAAACTTGTATTTTTGAGTAGGACCATTTTTCAATGTGAACAGGCGTGTAAAAAACTATTATACAGTACGCCCCAGGCAAATAATTACCTATTCCATTGTAATCAAAATAATAAACTTCTGTTAATAGCTTTTAATATTCAATTAACACCTAATTACCTCTAATTAACTAAGAAGTCTGTGTGATTTTAGTATAAAATCTGTTTATTTTGTTACGTTATTACTGTTCAAGGGCTAAGCGAATGTGATGTGAGACGGCATATTTTCTTTTATAAATTCAAATTTTGTAGCTATAAGTAGTTCTATTTGCACTAAAATTTTCGAATTTCGGAAATTGGGAAGGGCTGCAGTTGAAAGTTAGAATTTAATTTTGCCCCATGATATAGAAAAATAATTCTGAAATTTATCTGGCGTCGTATAACTATTGTGGATGCAATTTTGGATCAAGCAGCAGGAATTGCCTACCAAAACCAATTTAAAAAATTTCTGTGGCTAGCATAGATACCAACCATTGACTTTATATACACTATAGATAAACGGAGAAATAGGGAAAAATGGCAGCCGCTTTACCAAAAATCGACTACACCAAAATTTCTCGGGAAAACACATTTTCTTATTAATTTTGGTGCGTAGAATCCAAAACAATTCGTACTTCTCAATCAAAAGTTATGGACTAGAAAACCAATTTCGAAAGAAAATTCAAAGGGCTGTAACTCTGAACTAGTAGCCTAATCTTGGAACTGTTTGAAATTATGGATTCTAAAGGCCACATTCTATAAGAATATTTTTTTCAGGTCGATCTGAGACAATTTTTTTTCGGGCCTCAAAAAAAGGCAGTGAACCTTCCTTTTTTACCACAAATCGACTACACCAAAATTACCAATCAAAAGTTATAGACTAGAAAGCAATTTTGAAAGAAAATTCAAAGGGCTGTACCTTTTGAACTAGTAGCCCAATCTTGGAACTGTTTGAAATTATGGATTCTACAGGCCACATTCTATAAGAAAATTTTTTTTTCGGGTCGATCTGAGACAATTTTTTTTCAGGCCTCAAAAGAAGGCAGTGTATAACCTTCCTTTTTTACCAAAAATCGACTACTTACACCAAAATTTCTCGGAAAAACACTTTTTCTTATTAATTTTGGTGCGAAGAATCCAAAACAATTCGTACTTTTTCGATTAGACTTCTCAATCAAAAGTTATAGACTAGAAACCAATTTCGAAAGAAAATTCAGAGGGCTGTAACTTTTGAACTAGTAGCCTAATCTTGGAACTGTTTGAAATTATGGATTCTAAAGGCCACATTCTATAAGAATATTTTTTTCAGGTCGATCTGAGACAATTTTTTTCGGGCCTCAAAAAAAAGGCAGTGTTATAACCTTCCTTTTTTACCAAAAATCGACTACACCAAAATTTCTCGAGAAAACATTTTTTCTTATTAATTTTGGTGCGTAGAGTCCAAAACAATTCGTACTTTTTCGATTAGACTTCTCAATTAAAAGTTATAGACTGTAATGTTCCTAGGTGTGTCTATCAAGCCGACACTGAAAACGTTGACTTACCCTATACTTACGGTTGGCAACTCTGGCAAAAACTACAAGCAAAGCCACCTACCTTTCAAGTCGAAACGATGGTAGTCTCGCGGCACTTTTGAATTTGGACGGCAATCGGCCCGACATGGGTGGCACGAATGGACTCCTACGTTGTGTAATCGGTTCTTTTATGTGTTGGGACGTGAGACATAATCGGGAAGGGAATTAAATAAAAGACAGAACTTTTGTGCGTAAGAAATGACAAGATCAAATAAATATATTAACGCACACACAAGACCATGCCAGGGAAACCTTCTCCGGGACTAAAACCCTGGCATAGGCCACACAAATACATGAAATAAATCACCTACAGCAATAAAATGCAAGAGAAAATACACATAAATAAAACATCTCAAATGGTATGATAAAAATCAGATAATCAAATCAAATGCAATTAAACAAGTTCATAAAATCAAAATACACAAGACATCATAAATGCAGTGGAAAACATGATAAATCAATTCAGTACAAAAACACATCAAAATACCTGTACGATCAATAGAGATAACACAACTCGTCAAATAAACAAACTGCATGTACATAGGAAACGTAAATGGTGTGGCTCTACTCTAGCCTTCCGTTAACATAATTTAATTTAACACGAAAAGTACATGTGAGAATGCCATTGGTCAAAAGCAAGTATTCATGTGAAAATCGATTATCGCTCAAGCAGAACATATTTTAAATAGAGGAAATTTTAATGAGAGGGCCCCCACTCGTATTGCTAAGATGTTAAGAACTACAATCCGCACGAGACGAGTAGGCAACAGATACAGCGAAAGATCTAACTGCATTAGGTACCTACTCCACGGAGACAGAATTACCCACTCGCACACACAAACATCGAAACATTAAATTCAAGAGCCCTCCTTCGTATAGCTAACGCACAAGAACTGTAGCGAGCCACGAAACAGAAAGTAACAGATACAGCGAACAATCAAACTGTATTAGGTACTTCCCTCACGGAATAGTTACGGGTCAATCGAACAGAGCAACATCACACCGATAATCAACTCCTCATGAATAACAGAAGTAAATACTTAATTAAACAAAATAATGTCATAATCATCTGTACAATATAAGACACAAACATGATTCATCTAACGGTACTCAAAACAAAGGCATGGAGTACGCCATGATTCAGATATCGTAGTTTATGCAAAATCAGCAAAATGTAAATATCAAATTGTGGCAAGAAATTCAATGATTAAATAGCTAGTACAAGAAAGAATAAAATGGTTACCTACTACCTGTAAATACACCTTCAAAACACCATCACCAAAAATAATCAAGAATAATAAAAAAAACCGGGAAAGCGTGTGTCACAGAGTTGTATATTTACTTATATACAACTCTGTGGCGTGTGTCTTCCGCATATATATAAAAGAAGACCATATATATAAGAGAAGAATATATATGGTCTTCCGTCGACCTCGTCGCCATCTTCTCCCCATTCTCCCCTAGCCTCCTTACCAAAATCCCCTAGTATTCGGCATCTGCGCAAAACGGTCGTTGGTTATATACAGAGCATATTATATTTTTGTTTCAGCTGTAAACGTGTGTTGCCTAACCATCAGGGTGGATTATCACAAGACTAGAAACCAATTTTGAAAGAAAATGTATTATTTAGTATCGCTGTCTCCAGGTAAAATAATAAACAGGACACACAAGTATAACATTTAATTGGAACACGACATAACCATGCTTGTAGATGCAGTCAACGACATGTTCTAGTTCTCCATCTACGCACCAGAGTGCTACTACAGAATAAGATATTATAGTATCTTAAAACTACATATTATACAGAAAATTCAAAGAGCTGTACCTTTTGAACTAGTAACCCAATCTTGGAACTGTTTGAAATTATGGATTCTACACGCCACATTCTATAAGAAAATTTTTTTTCCAGTTCGATCTGAGACAATTTTTTTTCGGGCCTCAAAAAAAGGCAGTACTTTTAAGTTATTCAAATATTTGAGCACAATTTAGAAATGTTTAGGGAAATTGCCACAAAATCAAATATAAAAATCCGATACAACTGAATACCGAACGATTCTGGAGTGAAACTTTTTGACCCGATAGTCTACGTAACTTAAAAACAATAGGGACCTTTCTTATATCCTTAAGACCATGTGTACCAATTTTCAAAGCGATCGCACGTTTCTAAACAAACTATCATGCACACGGACAAACGGATGGTCAAAAAAGGATCTGTTCCAAAATCGCTAGGATTAATTTCAGAAAGGCGTACGTATCATGTGCACGACGTTTTGAAAACTGGTACACGTATTCTTAAGGATATAACTGGTATAAGATCAAAGGTCCTGGTAGGTACCTCCTATATAATAATAATATTAATATTATTATTATATAGGAGGTAATTGCGTTTTTACTCCCCTTAACAATAGAAATATTAAAAAAGCTAACCCCATACAAAGTATAACTTGATTTTTTAAGTAGTATTAAGACTTTTATCTAGTATACTATTTTAAATTTTTAATGTATTTGAGTGACAAGTATTTGAATACTTTTTACTGTATTCGAATACTTTTTATAGTATTAGAATACTTTTGAAAGTATTCGAATACCTTTGAAAGTATTCAAATACATTCTAAAGTATTTGAATACTTATTTTTTAAAGTAGTTGAATACTTTTCAATGTATCTGTATCTAGTATTCGCTTATGCTGGACGTAAAAGTATTTAGTATTCATACCTTTGATTTGTGTAAAGTATTTACTATTTAGTATTCAAATACTTTTTGAAAGTATTCGGCCCAGCTCTGTTTATTATCAATTTAATGTGCAATATAATGATGCATACATTCTGTAGATAACACTGCGTAATAACAGAGTATAGTAAAGGTAATACTAATAGGTGTAACATACAATCAATAGATATGAATAATTGCAGAAATATGCACACAGGTAGTCCATTTTAATGTTTACTTAAATGACCGCGATAGCATTTGTTTGATTGTGGTTAATATTTTTGATTTGATCTCTTCTTCTTGATTCTTAAAACTTTCAACTTTGAAGGCCTATGCCTGTATTGCCCTAGCGCTAGCATGTATACTTTTTACCCTTCACTTCCACTAATTTTGTCGCTTTTGCAATCGTCTTCCTAGGAATATTAAATTGTTCTTACAGCCGCCGAAAGCTCTCGCCAGGGAAGAAGAGAGACCATCAACTTTATGAAGTTTTAGGTTTTAGGTACTTACAAAGAGATAAGGAAAATATAAACGTGATAACTGATTTGAGAATACGTCGCTTGATATCTCATTTCAAGGAACAAAAGTGCATTGCTGGACTGCCCAATTTGGGAATTTCATTCCGACTATTTGGATAAGGATACTTATACCTACCTGTAATTAGTTGAATGGGTTAGAACATTACAGCCTATAAGCATAGACATATGAGCATATATGTCTATGGTTTCAGGCAGAGATGTTAGCCATCATGACCTGAGCACAGAAGCTCCGTAGAGGTTACCGTAATAAGCACCACTGCAGTGACAGTAAGGCGCTTAATTAGATGAGTCTAATAACGTAAGCTTGATCTCGGTGCCCGCGCACTGTGGAATAGAGAGCAACGAAAGAGCAGATGAGTTGGCTTGCGAAGGCAGTGGGGGGAGGGGGACTTCGTCGGGCCCGCCTATCATAGGAACTGCGCACTCTATTGTCACGGCTAGGATTAATAATCCAGTTAAATTGTATTTTTACCAGGAAAGTTGTGGGGTGGTTTTGATTTCTTTGATTCTACATGTTTTTTGGGGGGCTGAATCCGAATCTGAGGTTTGCTAACCAAATTTCATGACGCAACATTGCAAAAAATACAAAAAAGTCTCCTCAAAAGATTTTATAACTGTTCCGTCTGGTATAAAACTCTCCCACTTTTTCACAGATGAGCCAAGCAAGGCCCGTTACGTCACCGTGTACCTGCGTTTGCAGTCTCGAGGCCCTCCACCCATACACATACATACACAAGCGCACAAAGTGACACAGATGAACATAAATACAACCTGCAAAATTGCGGTCGCAACCTGGTTCCGTGCACTAATTTTTATAATTTTAAAAGGCAACTTATTGTCACATATTTAAATCTGTGTTATTGTGCTGATCGTGAAATTCACTAATTAGAAGCGATCAACAGGCCTATAACCCACTCTCAGGGCCCACACTCTAGTATGTTCTTTTGCCGCTTTTGCTTCTCCATAATAGTCTTATATAAAAAATATGCTGCCGCTACAAAGGCAGCGATTTGGTGGGAACATATGTGCAACCTCAAGTCTGCAACGTTTGTAGGCAGCTGCACCATAAAAACTGTATGTTTTGCGCTACTTTCTGCTGGTGTGTGAACACAGTACAACAGTCGGTGCACAAATACTGCGCAACAAAAGTAGTTGTGTCAGCTGTGTGTAATACTACCTTTAAGTGCTGCCTGGCCGAGCTTCCCTTGTGAATAGAATAGAGTAGCCCAAAATTTGATCACTAGGTGTTTTACATATCATAACAGTACGGGACTACATCAATAAAAAAGGAAACCAGAAATAATTTAGACTTTAGTTAATATTTAGTAAAAACATATAGATATTGTGTGCATAAATACATAAAATTCTGGTATAAAAATAAAGCTACCTGTTATATATTCTTAAATTAATTATCACCATAGGTAATAATACTTTGTTAGGTATATGGTATACTTATACCAAAGAGTAACCATTATGGGTACTCTTTGCTTATACCCACTACCTATGTAACCTATGTTACCAAAACCACTGACGTTCGGATTACCTACAAATTGTAGCATTCCTGACCAGCAGGACGGATTCCATTCAATAAATTAAATCATGAATAAAACGTAAGGACGGAAGTTTGGTTCCCCCTAACTAACAAAATCGGTGGCATGTCGCGCGTTAACAATTCCAACCAGGCCATATACAGGGGAGCTGAAATTACGTTCTTTCTGGGAATTGGAAGCGTCATGACCACCAAGCTTGCTTCAGTGGAATGCTCCAGCAGTAACTCGCGTAATCGTAGATGGCGATTTGTCTTCTCCTGCATAGCCAATAACTCCGATTCCGGTATGTGAGCTGGAAGTATACCTTCTGTTATGACAATGAAACAATTATATAACACGCTTATTTACCTTCCTGAGATTCGGTAAAATCTTCACGATTTTTATAGTCGTAGATAAGCGATTTGAAGAGCTGCTGAGTTGAGTCTTTAGCTTTGCTTGTGATATTAGGGACAATTTTCAAGTCTGAGTAGTCTATGCGAAACTTGGCCAACATACTGGCCATGTTTCGATGTTCACATTCCAGTTCATCATGTTTATTGGCCAAGGTGAAGACACGTAATCGACAAGAGTTCCAACTGCGTCTTGTATTTATTATATATGGCAGGAGTAAGGTCAGACCTATTTTAAAAAAACACCGTGAAATTCGTGGCTATAGCAATATTTTCAGTGAATTTGCTATATATACAATCACATTTTTGCCCCTGAACAGTATTTTCTCCATGAAACAAACCCCTCCCCAAGATCCACAAAGAATTTTTTTCTATTTACATTTCCACTTTGCAATTTGTTTAAACTAATTTGCTATGAGAACCTTCATTTGAAAAATATGATTCCGTGTACGTTCCGTGTTTCATAGCTCATAATTATACAATTCCTTACCTCCATCATCATACAACCACCAAACATCAATGGTAGCTCCCCTTTTTTGCCGTTTTTGAAACTGTAACCCATTGCCGATATTATGTATGGTCTCCAACGTGTTATCTTTAGATTGGTTGCCAAAAGAATCTTCAGTGTAATTTTTATTGTTTTCCTTTTCGTTAGCGGCTGGTGTTGTACTTACACGTTCCTTTTTTCGTAATACTGGTGTGGCTAATACTGATAAATTACTGGCACTACTACAAGAAGCTGTAAAATTGTATATCAAAATTATTAAGTTTAAATTTATAATATTTTAATTTCCATGCCTTGAGATAGCTGACTATATGATTGATTATGTCTCAAGGATTCAATACTGTTGTACTTCGTTTGAGTGTTATTTGTTTCTTCTTCAAGTTTAGAATTTTTGTCAGAACTAAAACCTTGCTTCATTCGTAAAATACCTACTCCCATGTGTAAATCGAACGCATTACTGGAATTGATTATTACTCATGGCAACCGATATTTGATTGGGTAACTTACTGCAAGACATTAAAATACTCATCAAGATCTTGCCGTGAACACGTTTGCCAATCGGATTTATGCCCCATTAACAAAATATTTGGTTTGAGTTTACCAATACCGCAAGCTTTTAGCAAGGCCGTGGCGCCCTCCTCAAAACTTGCGCCATCGATTTGCATGTAGAATCCTTTAATTTTGCTAGCTTTTAACCAGGCTCGAGCTTTAAAACTCAATACATTTCGAATGCGTTGATGAAGCCAACTCTAAATCTGAACTATTAGTTTTTGAGCTCCCTGTAGATACTTACCGAATTGATGTGCCCACAAATAAGCAGTGAAAGATTTTTCGTTAGTAAGTAAGAAAAATCCACAAGTGCCGGTCTTGCACTTGGCATACCCGAAAGCACTAGGATTTGTGGCCGATAATTTTTTACGTGCTCTTCAACCGCATTTAATTGATAAACCGCTTGTAGAGCGTTTTTATAAGTTTGAGCTTGCGTTGTTGATCCCCAATTTACTTCTACAAAAGAGATAGTAGGAGGAGTGCTAGTAAGTCAAACCTACTTACCTGGTTTCCGAATGGACACGATGAGATACAGTGCCAGAAGAGCCGAGAAAGTAATTAACGCTGTCCACCAAGAGATTAAGAACATTACAACGACACACAGTATGGAGCCAAGTAGACTTAACCACATGTTGTAGTACTGAATAGACCCACAAATAATTTCTAACAATGGATGTAGATTTTACCTTAAAAGTAGGTCTCCATCCTACAGGTTTGGCCAAGGATGCATGAAACGTTGAGAAATTAATTAATGTATAAGCAGCCAAAAAGAAATTAGATATCAATGGTGCAATCATATTTAACTCCCCTAAAACAATAAAAAATATCAAATGTGTCCAACATCGTTTAAAGACATACCAATTAATATAAATGCAACTGCAATTATGAAAGTAAGTATATACCCCCGCACTGGTTCATTGTTTTTGCCATATCCTTTGCCAAACCAACCTATGTAAGGATACAACTTATCTTTGCATAGAGCTTGAAACACTTTTGGAGCTGAAACTAAGGAGGCTAATGCAGATGATAAAGTAGCAGCAAAACATCCTGCGTATATTATTGGACCAAACCACGACACTAATTCAATTACCTGCAAGAAAACATTTTACTTGAAGGCCGGCACAACACGCCTAATCTAACCTACTTGGAAACTATTATGTAATCCATGGCGACACTGTCCTGGATCACATGTTGTAGAGTTTCCCGCTAAATAGTCTGTGACATTTCCAGTGGCATCACGCACTACCGTAAACCCAGATATCACTGCTATTAAAATATAAGATGCCGTTGTTAATAATATTGCCAACAATGTCCCTTTAGGAATTGCACTTTGAGGATCCTTGCAAATGAGTAAGCTGATTTATAAAAAAACACATGAAGTTTACCTTTAAGTCGCCAGATATATTTGCACCAGCTAAAATACCAGTAGCCGCGGGGAAAAATACAGCGAATACAGAAAAAAAAGAGTGATCAACACCTTGGGAAAATCTATAATCAGCATAAAGATTTTCCTTAAAGACCTTCACTGAAATATAAAAATCATAGGTAAACCTGAAAATTTTTAATTGAGCTTACGGTCGTATCCAATGAAACCTTTGGCCCTGTCTTCATCGTTAGTAGGGCCAATTATGCTTCCGATAACAAAATCTAAAATTGCAATTAAAAGAATTGCCAACAGTACTAATTGGGCCTAAAAATTCAATGTGTATATTTTACAATTAAAGTCATACTTTACCTTCGCCTCCCATTCCATTCCAAAAACCACGAGAATCGTTAAAAGTAGAATGGTCACCGATCCAATAATACGAATGTCATTAACGCCGCCGACAATCTTCAGTTCATGAGATTTGAGCAGGTCTCCCATAGATTCACAGAAACCCACCACATACATTGCGCACGCAACCGCGTTTGCCAGCGAGAAGATTAATCCGATTGATCCTCCAAACTCTGGCCCCAAACTCCTTGAAATCATGTAATAGGTCCCACCTACAAGATATTAAAAGTGAAAGTAGAAGGATCCGAGAGTGATACATACTTACCTCCTTTTATCACGCCGTTAGTACTGATGGCCGACATGGAAACTGCTGTGATTGTTGTTACAGTGCTTGTCGTTAGGATGAGTAAAATCGCGTATCCTAAAATATTACATTGCAATTAGGAAGTTCAACATAATCCAAAATAATTCCATAATAGAGGAGAAAGTCGAGAAACCATGCAACTAACCTACACCAGTTTGTGCAACAACCCATGACAGCCGAAGAAAGAGCATCACACCCCAAATGTTCAGAAGGCATCGTACTAATACACCTTGAATCCATCCAAATTTGACTTGTCCCTCGGATGTGTCTTCCAATTTGCCATTAAAACTAACTGTTGTCATTGTTGGAGTCTGAAATCAAATTTAAGTATTAGCTGCTTGGTTTGGAATAAAGAATTAATGCCATCAAATAAAAGACAAAAGGATGGAGACAGCGGAAACAACTGGAAATCCCGGGGGCGGCGCCATCACCAGGAAGCAGAGTTCCCTATATAATGCAGACTGGCGAAGCTGTGGCCGTACCCTTTCGGGTCGGATAACACCCAGTTAGCCCCCCCCCCCTCCCCACAACCTTCCCAATCCACAAAATCCACCTCATTGTTTGGCATATTATGTCGCGGCCCAGCGCAATGGCAACAAAGTGGTGGAGATGCACCGCTGTTAGTACCTACCAAGGACACATCCCCACGACAGTTGAATAAATTCTGGGAGAAGCGGCTACGCCAGGCATATGCTAGAGTATCAAGTATACGCAAGTAGTATTTACATTTTACTCGTAATAAAACCCATTCGGACGTATGGGAGTGTTATGGGCTTCAATACAAATTCAAAGGTAGGTAAGCTGCGTGATATTTTTAAATGTTGCCGCGAGACGAGACCAGTGTTCCTGATTACTCCTCATCTGTCCATGTTGATCTTATGCCTACCACTAACGAAGATGCTTCAATCCAAAATAGAAGCTAAGCTGATAGATACTAAGCGATCAAACTGTTCCTGCTTTCATAAAATGTACGAATTATACCTTGTAAAAGCATTTTAATTTCAAAATTGTTAACTGGTAGTGGCACTACGTACGCGATACGCGTACCTGTACCCTGTACGTGTACCTATACTGTTAATAATGAAATTAAAATTACACACCCTACTTGCTGCATTAATACCTACACGCAACGAACCTACTCTTCAACAAAAATTTTCATTAAACGAATGAAAAGGTTAATGAGCTATTATACTCGTACTATCTACTTAATAATCTTGTTTTTAATTACGTGCAAAATGTTTGTCGGATTCTATGAGTAATCGGGTTAATTCCTATAATCAGAACGCTGAAAGGCCTTTCATTTCGTGATATGCACGCCTTAAATAATGACGCAATAGATGAGTGTACAATTATTAAAGAATAATGTCATTTGTCCTTCAGAATTGATTCTCTTTCTTATTTTATATATTCCGAGTTCCGACAAGGTACAGAACAAAAATCCACTCTATATATATGGTTGTAGCAGAACATCTTCATCTTGGAACGAACGGATCTCCTCTGAAACTGCATATCCCTACTACGTTTGGTACTTTTCCCCATGCGTCTTTTGTTTTCGATTATTATGTTAAGAGATTTAACCACTTCTGCCTTTGCCTACTTTGGCGATGAATGCGATGATATTGTAACGTAAATTTAATTACAATTAATTAACAATAAATCTATTGAAATGAATTGATTTATAACAGTTAAAATATTGTTTATTAATCACATATACATAATTTGTAACAGCGCAACTATTGATTACTTCGGCGTTGAAATTGGAGCTCTGAAACGGAATTGAATTTTCTTATATAGCAAACGCTACTCTTTCTCGAAAGGTTTCGAACGCTTCCGAACGCTCCCGAGTGTTCTAAAATGTTCTCGAACAAAACACTTCATATTTCCCGGAAAGATTGCGTCACACCCGCCTTCGTCTTTATCGCCGATAACTAACTTTGCGTGCCGCCTCGATGTCTCTAGGGTTCTCTGGAATATTCGCTACAATATGGTATAGTCTATATCTACACCTTAGCACATAGGTAGATACTTGAAAAAAGATTTAAGAAAAATAATGCACAAATTTTTCGCATTAGCAATAAATACGAATTGTTTTCTTATACAGTCTGTTTGATGTTACCTTTCACAGTAGATATCTCGGCTACTGTTTTGTATTATCTGTTACAGCCAAAAAACAATTGAAAATGAAATGTATTAGATGCAACAAATAATTGCTGTGCGAAATTCTCTTTCCGACGACATATCACATGTCATACTACGTAATCAATTAAAAAAGTATGCGAGGAAACAAATGAAATTATTTGTCAGGTTCCAATTGAACAATGTTCCTTAATGCTATCTTGACAACAAAGGTCATCATGCAATAATAAATACAACATATCGTGAAGAAATGATGCCCATCATTAGCATATCCATTTTTTCATCGTTAGAATAATTACCACACCACACATTTCGTGATAGCTAAGATGAAAGCAACAATACGTATAAATTTACTCAATGAATTTCACGATAAAGCTGTAGCAATTGTTTTCATCGCCTAGATTGTCAAAGCGATCAGAGTTGGACTGGGTCACTGGGTCAACTGGGTTACCTGGGTCACTAAATTAAACTGGGTCACTGGGTCGCTGGGTCACGTCATACTCTTTTCAGTTAGACCCAGTTTGACCCCGCGTTTGACCCAACTTGACCCAGTTTGACCCAGCGACCCAATTTCACCCGGGGGCCCAATTCGACCCAGTCACCTAGTTTGATCGAATAACGCAGTTAAGTCAGTGCCCCCTCGGTTCAAGTGTACAGATTATGAAATAAATGAAATGCTGGTTTGTTGAAAATAATACTCGATTGCTTGACAACTGCCATTTCTGTGATGTTTGCTTTAATACTGCCGTAAAAAACTTTCTATGTCCCGAATTGTATTAGAATAATGTTATTTCTTTGCTTCAGGGCTTACCAGTTTGCTTACAGGTGTTCATTCACATTTAATTTTTTTCTACTAGTTAGCTTAATCCAAATAAATCTTTTCTCTAAATACTTTCATTGACTACTTGACTACAAACTATAAACAAATGCATTTGATTTTTTTAGGTATTAGTTCTCTTGAATGAAATTGGGCTACGTGCTTGTTGCCGAATATTATTGAGGAAGTTTTTTTTAAATTAAAAGTTACTTGAAATTGTTTTGGATGATACCTAACAATAATTTAATTACTGGGCCACCGGGTCAAGACGGGTCACTGAGTAAAGGTGGGTCAAGATGGGTCACTGGGTCACCGGGCCAAGCTGGGTCACCGGGTCAAACTAGGTCACCGGGTCAAGCTGGGTCACCGGGTCAAGCTGGGTCACTGGGTCAAGCTGGGTCACCGGGTCAAGCTGGGTCGCCGGGTCAACTGGGTCATCGGGTCACTGGGTCAGTAAACTAACTGGTTCACCGGGTCACTGGGTCACTCTATGCTTGACTCAGTCCAACTCTGAAAGCGATCATTGATTCTTAATTATCGATTTACGTTTTTACTTGAACAGACTATATGAACTATGACATGCGATACATCGTCGAAAAGAGAATTTTGCAGTTTCAGAATATGCAATAAAATTTGGTAAATTTCATTTAAAATTTTGTATTATTTTCTGCATCTGATACACTTGACTTTCAATGGTTTTTCTGACTGCAATAACATCTCCAACAGTAACCTAGATATCCGCTGTGACGGATAAAATCTACCAGGCTGTATATGTGATGATATGCCCCAATGGTTCGTCATCACACCTTACATCTGAAAGAATAGCACTATGGGAAAAAAATACGAGACGCTCTACACAAGAATCGTGATAAATCTTCGACTTACACCGTTCTCTTCAGATGTCGAAGAACAGGGATTTTCGCAACGAAACTTGTTTATGGAAACATGGAGTGCTCCATCCTATTCCGGAAGTCGATCGCATCTTAAGAAAAACATAGATTGTAGATCGGGATCAAGTGTTCTGTGACCGGTAATCATTCCTGGCGAGAGTTATATACGATGCAATTTATTTTTGCGCGCTTCAGATTTTTGGGCAATACAAGTTAAGTGTGTATTGGCAGCTATTACCTAATTAGTGCGGGCTTCAAAATAAAATTTGTTGCAAAAGTCCTGCAAAAAGATTACTGAGTTTTGTAATACCCGAGGTAAAACCTCAAAACGGTATATAGTAATTTAAAAATAATTGTTTTCACATCGGTAAGGTAAGTATCGAATACTTACCTATCGATATATTTTACTTATCAATATGGCGATAATTATTGAAATATCGATAATTATCGATACATCGACAGATATCGATATCTCGATAGTTACCGATATATCGATAGAACTATATCGGTTTTTTAACTCTTAAGTGAAGTTTCTGCTTCCACATTGATTACATCCAATTTTTGGACTATATTCGCAATCTCTAATTTACCAAGTGTCGCCCACGACCTCCTCATAATATTTGTTTGAGTTATGAAGAAAAAAATATGTTATCTTCAAAAACATATGGGGTTATGTTTCATAATTATCTGTAACTTTTATTCTGTCAATTTTTCTAAGTTCACCAAACGAAATAACGGAAAAAAACACCTGTATGCTTTATCTAGTTTGCCATTCATTGTTATGAAAATCAAAAAAGTATGAGCTCGTAAAACTGAAATTCTTTCCCACGAACAATAAATATCGAAAAAGCTCGCACTGTATAGTGTAGGTATATGTATGGCGTTTCTGGATTTATAAAGTAACATCTTCTAGAGGTCATAGGCCAAATATATGTATATAGCCATGAAAGGCAATCTACGTATATGTTGTCTTTAAATCAATGAAACAGAACCATTTATAATGATTTATAGATAAACAAGTTTTTCTATTTCGGTGTTTTCGGCCGAAAACAGTTGTACAAAGACAGTGATTATAGTCGTTTTTTTTTGGTAACTCATCTCTTAATTTGGCAGTTACTAGTTAGTACAAGTAGGTACTTCGTTGGGTACTTCCATGTTTGAACTTCAAAATGTCAGTCTTACTACGCTGCCAACCTAAAACTTAACGGCATAAAAAGTGTTCCCAACATAAAACATGTTAGTTCTAATGTTCCCTATAGTTTCTGATAATGATTTTTTTAATTAAATTAAAGCACCGAAATAGAAAAAATAGTATGAAAAACGCGTGTTACAATGCTTTATTGTAATACTCCTATCTTGCGGACACTCGTGGCTACGCTTCGCGTCGCCACTCGTGCCACAAGATGGTCGTATTACAATAGGTCGCATTGTAACACTTGTCTTTCAATATACTATTAAGTTACTTTTAATTTCTATTTGAAACATTTATGTTCTTTGTTTACGCTATGGATCATAAGCCATAAGTACCTATATGTATGAAATATGTCGCTAATATTACATTAATGCAATATAATAAGTGTAAGGTAGTATACACAATTCATTTATCATTATCATATTATTATCTGTGTTGCCCTGCGGCAAGGTGGTCATGCATGATGAGCTGTAATAGACGGAATTGATTTTAATTGCGAAAAATTACGAGTTATTTCAATGGATGAACATCTTCAAGGTTAGCAAGGATTACTTACAAAAAGATTACCCAAAGGGCTCATTTTAGCATTTTGCCTCAGTTGGACTAAAGTGCTTTCAATGGCATAATGAGACAACACTTCCTCTGACACTAGAAGTTTCCGCAGTATCCGAGTTTCTTTTAATTTTCAATCAAAAAATTTTCGATTAGACAAATCCGTAAACACAATCAAGTACCATTCTGTCGTCACATTGAAAGTTGCGTGCAAAACAATATCATATTTAAAAATGTTCTCTACAGATGTTATAGTCTAAATCGGCAATTTTACTTATAGTTTGTTTGCGTAATCAGAAATTATAAAATTGTAGACTTTTTACATACAGAAACAATTTTTTAAAGAGCACGGTAACGCTGATCATTTACCTACAATTTACAAATTATTCCTGTCACCTTTCTATACCATACTAGCGCAACCTCCTATCCGGCCACCTTTGCCCTGGGCCAGTCAATTCCATGAGCCGTCAAAGTCAACACTTTATTTATGTATTCCAATTCCAATATAGGTAATAATTAATTCTATAACAGGAAGAACCTTCGTATTGTAGCGAATAATCCAAAACGACATCGGGGCGCCATCGTGTCGCCATTAGATGAAGGGAGTAGTCCCTGGGGATAAGTAATAAAGGCGGATGTATCTATTCGAAAATATTCTAAATTATTTGTTTGCTACATAAGCAACCTGAATCGTGTTTAATCTCATCGACGCCGAAGTGAAAAAGTGACATTCGTGACAAATTGTTATAAATCGATCTATTTAAGGAATGTTTCGACGAAACCTCTTGGCCGGAGAATAGGTATCTGGTGGACGACTATTTTCGGAAGTTCATTGTCGTTTGGCAGAGTTGCCTTGATCTTATCTCGTGATTGTGTGGCACAAATCAAATGTATAGTGAGATAGTCATTCATCTGAGTACTCCTACGTTATGAGCGCCCTGGGTGTGAATTAGTCCTAAGCATAAACAGTCCTGGATACGAATTGTGTGGGTAGCAAACTTTGTTACAGATGCAAACAATGGGGTAATTCGTGCTTTAAAGACCAATTATACACGTGTTTCTTATAGTATTTTTTTATTATAGTTGCAATGTAATTTAAAAATAAGGGAAATTCGATGAAATCATATTGACGTTATTGTCTAATAACGGGCCATCAAGAATGAGTTGCTGTCGGGTCGCCTTTGGAAGTTCAAGTTAGATACGAATTCCCATGTAAACAAACATTCCGAAGGTAACTCGACAGCAACTCATTTTTGATCGCATTGTACATGTCTAATTAAGTGGGCTGTGTATTTGGAGTTCCATTGATTCCATGATTGCCATGGAAATGTCCCTTGACATTTGCTTATAAAACTCACCGTCTTTGTCAATAAATCGATTTAGGTTGAAAAAGATAATGCACCGTCCATTAAATGGCTTATTTTTCTAATGAAAAGTTGGTAGGTGTAATCCAAATCCAGTAAAGCCTATTATAAAGAATATGAAAAGGTGTTTCCATGGATGAATAGGAAGTTACTTACGAACAAAGTCCTAAATGCATCGATAATGCTGGCATATACGAAGAAAATGTCAAAGGTATTTAAATCTTCTATCTTTTGGAGCATTCATTCAAAACTTATAACAATGCTGCGATTAAAAAGTGGAACAGGTTTGGCAGCATACCATAAATTACGCGCGATTGTAAAAGTTTCAAACAAAAGATAGGTACAAGCCAAAGAAATGTTCTGCATTTACAGAGAGCGACCTATGGAAATTTTTTATTTCAGCCTCAGATGACAGTTTCAAAAGTCATACTTGAAGTTTCATTACTTAGCAACTTTAAAGCACGTGTGTTTTAAAGTAGTTAGAGCGCGTTCGGCTGAAGTCAAGTGATGTACTCGGCCTACCTATTACCTTACGGTAAACGTCCCCAAAAAAATGTTGTTATGAAGGAAACATAATTAGAAATACGGTATGAGTGGTATTTTGTACCTCAGCACAATGCAAACGTCTTACATGATTTTTAAAAAGGTATATACAGTAGTCAACGTGACTAGTCTCCCTACTTTTCGACCCTGTTTCAAACCTTTGCACACTAAATGTTGACGACACACCGCGACTAAATATTCACAGTTAAGCGGTAAATCCTAAACGAATATATTTATTTTTAATCAAAACGTATGCGAGACGTATGTAAAAGCCGGGAAACTAAATAATTTGGCGTCTTACGTGAAGTCGGTATAGTGGATTTGGTTTTTCGATGTTGGCGCCAGAGATCCCCAGCCGCTATCTTGATCTCGATCCGATCAGTGTGTCAACAAGACGTGTGCAGGCCTTAATAAATATCGTTGGTTTTGGTGTTCTTTCTGAAAGACACCATGCCTTTTGTGAAGAAAAGTGCTCAGCAGAAGAAGGAAAAGATTGTCCTAGCTCAGCTATATACTAGACCTAGTGGAAAAGTCATCAAATTTAAACGCGTGCTGCATAGCGTGCCGCCGCGTCAGAGCAGACGCCGCTTCGGCGGTAAATATCTTCCTTATTTCATCATGAACATGTACTTTTCCGTGCATATTTAGATTCGTCACAAAATTTCGCTTCTAATGAGACCCATCTCATTTAAGTCTTGATACAAAAACCTTCGCTAGCTCAGAAAAACTGAGTCTGTCCATAAGAGCCCATGTTAAAATACCCTGTTTTTACTGTCAAATATCTCAGAAACGGCACATAGGAACACTTTTTTCTTTTGACCATTAGAAAGTGCGTCTCTCAGAGAATAAGTGACCAAATTTTCACCAACTTCTTGTTACTTTTAAGTTACCTAGGCGCTCTAACTACTTTAAAGGGCTAATTTCGCACGCATAATGTTTAAAACGGAGATTGTGATTCAGGTCACGATACACTTCCAAATTCAGGTATAATAAAAAATCAAGTAAATGTTTTGGATTTGTCAAAAATACAAGTATCACATCAATTTTTACCAACCTAAACAACCAAAACATCAATTTGGTATGTGAATAAATAAATGTTTACACAAGCAATCTAATTTGTACCACTCAAGTATGTTGCGTAATATCGGCTCAAATCGAGGCTCAAATAGACACATTCGGTATGCAAGACTATTAGTACTAAATTAAGGATAATGTTTACCATTTATCCTATCAGCGATACTTGTTGCAGTAGTCTGTAGCTTAGGGTTAACATGGCAATACACGATCCGACACAATTTTGTTTTGTCACCTACAAGAAACCGAATGACATATTTTTCGCAGGTTGGTAATTAAAAGGTACCTACCTGGTTCTTCGATAAAAAAGTAGACCTAGCAAAGGTAGAGATATGTAAAAACGGGTTGGCCACGATGCGACTTTTTTGTGAAGGGTGGATGAAGTGATGAAATGGGCCAATTACTATTTTTGAAACAAGGTCGAGAAGTAATTATACACATACACATTTTTAGTGGCATCGAACATATGTCGGTTCTATGACATAAATAAAGATGAAACAAAGTTATGAAACTTACCTTATTAAGTAAAGTAGCATTGTGTAGCTCTTCCAAGGTAGGTCTGTTTGCTGCTTGAAATGACATAATATTCCGGTAATTATCCAGCCTGGGCAACGCCTCCCGGGTTAACTGCCTAGGAAGAAAGGTTAAAATTACTTAATATCTTAATATCTCGGAATAGTTATAAGTTTATAAGCTAACAAACGAGGAAAATATTTAAGTTTCAATGTCCAAATAAGAAGAGAGCATCTTTCTTCGGAAATTACCATAGGTAATGTAAACGAAATAATTATTGCAGCATTGGTAGACGATTATGATTATACGTATGCAAAGAAACCATGACAACAAATTCATGTTATAGTAGCCATGGGCATTAGACATTTCGCCAAGTTTTCGTCCATTCTACCTAATCAACTTTGTATGTCTATGGAAATTACTCGTGCTAACATGCCGATTACAATGCCAAGGTGATTGTCATCAATCCACGAGTCTTCGTTTATTGTTGGCGCTGAAATATCACAAAGACTAATAACTCAATACCTTATTACTTAATACATAATTGTGGTTGGTATATATGATGTCATTATAGGCAAGTGCTTAACAAATATAAGCGCACAATACAAAACGATCGGATAAAAATAGATAATCTACCTCTATATGAAAGGCAAATATTTTTATACCCATTCACTATTTTACACACGCTATCTATTTATCTATAAGATAAAGGTGCTACCTTTTGGGGCTGGCGTTACGCTGGTTTGTAAAATGTTATCAGGGAAAGAATCCTTTTCTGAAACATATCAGTCGAAATCAGTCAAACCAGTGAGACCCCAGTAGTTTTGTTTATTTAGGGCCAATTGCACCGTCAAGATTAAGTATCCCTTAAAGTTAAGCATAACTTAAATACCATAGCAACGATTGTCTTAATAATCGTTGCCATAGATTTTAAGTTCGACTTAACTTTAAGCAAGGCTTAATTTTGTTGGTGCAACTGGGACTTATTATTTGATCCATCATTTCACTACACAATTAGGGACATTTTACTTTAATTTGTATACTACTATCTACAATTTTAAAACAATACTAGAAAATATTAACAGAAGTGTTGGTTAATATTATTCTTGTAACGTACTAATAAAATGGTAAGAAAACAGATAGAAGGACGGACATGCGAACAAAGCGCAGACAATAGATCCTAGTTTACAAAAAATCGTACAAATAATTTTCGTTCTTTTAGTGTAGGGAGCGAGTACTTTCTGGACCTCCCTTTGCGAGTCCGTCTGCCTATCCTGTGAACGTTCAAAAATCGTTCAAAATTTACTGCTAGACTACCTATCGACACCCAGTTTTAGTTCTATGACAATTTGTGTTCTGTAGTATAATAGCATAGATAGTATGGTGTTTGGGATCGTTTAGCCAAAAAGTAATTATTAAGTATTCTTTGGTTTAGCTTTGATAACGTTCTTGTGATAATGTTGTAAGTTTTTGAACAATTCACCTACTGACACAACATTGTGAATAAAACGCTAGGTATTATTTTCAATTTGTAAAAACGAAATTAAGAGAAATTTATGGTACTTTTATGCATTCTGGTACTCGTTAAGATACAACATACAGTGAATTTTTTTTAAATACGAACATAGGAGTTTGCATGCAATGTAATTTCCCTGTTCGATTTTTAAAAAAACACATCAATCTATGAGGTGTGCGCGGTTCACATTCCCAAATCGTACAACTTGTGTGACTATGAACAGCAACTGATAGTCTTTATGATGAAGAGCACTAGGTAAGATTTTTTTAAATAAGCCGTGTGAGGCCATAGCAACTTTAGGATAAATTTTTCTTAAACTTACGATAACTTGACTTCACATGGCACGCGCTGACATCGCAATTCATTGTGAACCAACCTTCAATTATTTGTAGGTCATGTGCACCTAGTATTCTACTAATTTGATTTATTCAATACATAAATGAAGAAAATAAGAAAATAAATACCGAAAACAATTACAATAAATGTTGGAAGTGTCCTCCTTGGCATTCTAAGCAATAACCTAACCGATTTCGTAATTAAATTGGACGGCGGTATTTTCAAAAATGTGACAGCTGTCAATTGTATCTACTACTCATTTGAACTACTCAATAGATTGATGTGTTTTTTTAAAAATCGAACATAGGGAAACATTGCATGCTAACTCCTATGTTCGCATTTAAAAAAAATTCACTGTATGTATAAGCAGCGCACTAAATATAAGTAGTTACCTTTTTATATCCGTAAATATTAATAACTGCCCAAATGCGCGTATACCTTGTCATTAATTTCAGGGTCATTTCGATTTTATAAGTTAATTGCATAAAATTGAATGAGCATTTGTTTATGCGTTTGCTTATGAATCACTTTTTGTAGGTATTCGTTTGCGGTTTTCATTGTTTTCCAAAATTTTCATTATCTATCTATATTTCGCATATCACACAAGCGGCGTGTACACATTATTTGATACAAATAAAAAGGTGATATAATATGAATTATTCGTACGCGTTCCCTGTTATGTACTATTTATCATAGTTATTGTCGTACTTTGGAGTCATGCTTTCTACAGTGGTTGGATCAGTATCACTCCAGAAAAGTGAAACCAAAACAGTGCAATTTGCTTTTATTGTCCTTATCTTTTGAAGTATGCAAGAAATCAGTTAAAACTAAGCATATGAATGGTATATGTCTTGGTGGTGCAGGTCATGCGCTGCGGCATTGATGAGAATATTCTTTAGAATTCAATGGCCATTTTCTCGTGATCCTGATGAACCTATTCTATAGTAGTCTTTTGGCGTTCTACATTTTATCATCTTTTGGCAATTAGAATGCCGAAAGGTTAAAAGCTCACAACACCACTAAAAGAATAGGTACCTACCTATAGCAAAGAATTTTTTCTAACAGAAGTGGAGTGTACACAGATTGAGTTTTGTTCTTCTGATACCATATTTCCGGAATATTTGCATTACAAATCTTGATCACCCTTACGTACTAATTGCTAGTTCACTTTTATATGAGTTTTCTATTTGATTCTATTATGATGGTGTGGTAAGCAAGTACGCTTTCTAGGTAAATCTCTCATATTTGTATTTATTTTTCTTATATTTGGGCGAACCATTGACAAGAGTTCTTCCACGTCCGTTTGAAGACATCCTCCTAAAATTTTGAAAAAACCAACCACCATCTGACAGCATTTTCTCTATAAAGGAATAGACGACTCTTTCCTCAGCAATTCCCGTACATACTTCTGTTTACTTTGTTCTGAATATTATAATGAAAGCGGCACAGAAACCTCTAAACTTTACAACATCCATGTTTAAAAGTGCAGGATGCGCCACCGATACCAGTTTTAGTCTGTAAATGCACGATGTGCATAACCTTAATTTGAGATTTAAGGGTAGATTAACTCCTCCAATATCTAATACTACATTGCGTGAACGTTCATTCTCCCATGTTGCCGTACACATTTTTAATAAATACTCTTATGAGATTATGCACTACAGTAAAACTAAATTTAAAAGTTTCCTCCTTGAACACACCTCACATCTACTGAAAGTTACAATTAAGTTACGTTGGTTGTGCCCAGGGTTGTGCCACTGTTGTTCGTTAATTTCCGTTGTATGTTATATTAATTTATATGTAAATTGGTCCTTATGAAGCTTTACTAGTTCATTGTAAAACTGGCCGAATCTAGGGTTAAGTGGTAGAACAGCCCTAGGCTGAACTTCGCCCTAAAATAATTGCTTTGATTAATGTGAATACACAAAGATGCAATAAAGACCATATTATTATTATTATATAAGAAGGTACGGTTTTATGCGCTATTTATTGCATGCACTACTGCACTGCACGAAATGTCGTATGAGCTAACACACGAAAAAAGGCATGTTGCAGTTATATTTAACAATTAAAATTATTCAATAATTCTTTAGGTCCAGAAGTAATTCAAATGTCATAAATATTGAAAGTGTCCTATCAGCAATTGTATTTCGGTCCTTCTTACTCAAGTTCAACTTGTAGTAGCTTGACTATATTGTCAAGTAGGTACCAGATAGAAAGGCAAGCTTGCAGTTAGATATTAATTTCAAAGGAGCAAGATAAACTTAGTGTGCAATATTATTCCAGTAATACTCTATTGAAATAACTAAACAGCGGTACCTACTTAGAACCCAAAATAACTAATTACTAGTTATTACTTAGTCCTCGTTACGCAAATGACCCAGAGGCCTTTTCTTGAAAATCCATATAGAAAAACATTAGTTAATACATTGCAAGACATTGGTTTGGTTATTAAATTTACATGAAAATCTACATTGGATGCTTTTTAAAGTATATAGTCACATACTTCCGCATTGTGTTATTATTTCGTTTTAGTTACAATTAGAATCGATTAGAATTATAACGTTTATAAAAAATGTATGGTGTATATTGCAAAACAGAACTAGTTATAATAGTAGATTAAGATACAAGTGTATAATCAAGTCTTTAAAGCACGCGCAACGAATTTAATGGCACGACGCGAAGAGGAGTGCCCTTAACGTTGCAAGTGCTTTAAAGACCAATGATACACGCGTATCTTATACTATTTTTTATTATACCTGAAGTATAATTTAATTAAAAATAGGAAATACAATGAAATCATATTGACGTTATACTCGAATACATGTCTAATTAAGTGGGCTGGGTGTTCGTAATTTCACGATTGCCATGGAAATGTCACTTGACGTTTGCTTATAAAAATCATCGTCTTTGTGAATAAAACGATTTCCGTTGAAAAAGATAAGACACCGTCCATTAAATCGCTTGTTGTAAAATCTAAACAAACGTTGGAAGGTGTAAATTCCAAATCCAGTAAAACCTACTATAAAAAATATGAAAAGTTGTTTCCATAGATGAATAGGAAGTTACTTAAGAATAAAGTCTTAAATGCATCTATAAAGCTGGCATATATGAAGGAAATGTCAAAGGTATTTAAATTTTCTATCTCTTGGTGCATTCATTCAAAACTTCAAACAATGCCGCGATTAAAAATTGGAACAGATTTGGAAGCATACCCTAAATTACGCGCGTTTGTGAAAGCTTCAACCAAAGGTACAAGCCAAAGA